ACCCTATGATGCTTTATCAGTTCAACAACCTTTTTTTCTTGGTCTTTCACGTGATCCTTTACTTGCCGTAGCCAGTCCATCTCCATCTGTCGATACGCTCCATCTATACCATTTCGAGGCAGAGAACTCGGATACTCTATGTCCATTCGCTTGCCCCTTATTCCATCTTGTTGCTGCCTACCCCTCCTTCCACTACTGCTGCTACATCTCCCCTCCCTCCTCTGCTGTTGTTGCTCCTCCCCATCCTCGCATCGTCAGCCATGGCTCGGATGACTGCAGTGGCCATGCTGCTGCCAGGGCTGCTGGCCGGCATTGTTATCGGCACTGCCATCTCAGTGAATAGCATCACGCCGCTCGCAAGGGATGCCTGGCATGCCACCAGCACACAGGACGTGAGTCACTATCATGGCAAGTTTGACCGCTCTGGCAAGGTTGGGATGTTGGCCAGATTAAACCCTTGCAAGTCAGCCATGGCTTGAGTCTGAGCATGCGTGTGTGTTCTTACTGCAGCTTACACATGAAACCGATAACCACACAGTCAATTACCCTCTCACGGCCCCTCCTGCGTCTCGTAACCATGTAAGCAAATCCTCTGCCTCCGTACCTTGTTTTTTGCAACCTTCTTTTTATTTTACTCCGTTGGATGAAGCCGGGATGCTCATTTAATGTTTTCGCACTGAGCCTGTGTGTGTTTCATTATATGTGTGCATGTCTGGGCATGTGTACGTGCATATGTGTGTCCCCCTTTGCACGCATGGATGTGTCGCTCCTTTTCAGTCCAATGCCACAGTTACTTGTCAGCATGTCACAAGCGTGCCTCTTGATCATGCACAGGCAAATGCGGTCTTGCTTCAGCATCTCCACTCCCTCCATACCCTGGTACGAGTTGAGATGGCCAATAATCCCTAATCTGCAGCAACCCACTGTTCTGTCAGGATATACTATCTCAGTTGCCTGCTTTCTTGCACCTCCTTTCTTACATCTGCGGTCTCCAGGTGCAACTCATCTGCTCATGGCTTATTCTGCCGTCGCCACTCTCATGGCACTGCTGTGGGGGATGGGCGTGATCCACACGCGAGTCAGAGCGTGGGTGCATCGGCAGGGTTTGGCTGTGACGGCTGGGCTGATGAAGCTGACGAGTGCAAGCAAGTGCCTCGTGGTATGCCATAAAGTCATGCGCTCTGCCCTCCAACACTGCAGCTCTGCCTATGTGAATAACTCTCTTTCACTCACTACTATTACCATCCACTGCTCCAACTTTGCCTCTCATTTCTCCCACTCGCATTCGCACTCACTCCCTCGACTCCTTTGTGCGCTCACTCATGTTTCCCTTGCTGCTGCACGTCCATCTCCCATCTCTCATCTTCTTGTCGACTCCATTCCATATCTTCCTCACCCTCGCCATGCTGCAGCCACGTGGAAGCGTCCCTCTGCAGCACAGCCCCATGTGAGCATGCCCTGTCTCGTCATCAACATGTCCCCACCTCCCTTGTCACGATCACCTCACCTCTCTTATCGAATGCTATGTGTGTGGATCTCTAACAGTGTAAACCGCCTTCGCGCTTTATTGCCCTTATGTACAAGAAACCCTGGCAGTGTAAACTTGTTCACCTTATGCCTACGCTATAAATACCGATTTCCCTTATGCCTCACCCTCGCTTTCACTTAAGTTCATGAACTCTTCCAATGTTCAACTCGCATTTGCTCTTCCTGAACTTGCCATCTCATTTTCATACTCTGCCATGCCTGCTGCCGTGCCATGTGTGCCAGTTCGGGGATGCAGAAAGTGGGTGAGGTTGTTGTGTCTGTCATAGGAAATATCGCTGGAGTGCACAAGTTGAAAGAGGTGATTAGGATGAGAATGAGGGCGCTTGGTGTGCAGCTGGAAGAGACAAGGAGGGAGTTTAGAGGGCAGGTGGAGGAGAGGGAGAGAGAGCTAGGAGCAGTGAAAGAGAAGCTGGAGGAGACTGAGGGACGACAAGTGGTAGAGATAAGGGAGATGAGAGAGAAGGTGGAGGAGAGGGAAAGAGAGCTGGCAGAAGTGAAGGGGGAGCTGGCCGAACACAAGGAGGCTATGAGAGAGCAATGGGATGTGGCTGAGAGAAGGAGAGAATCGATTTTGAGAGAATTGAGAGAGGAGGCAAGAAAGGGAGAGGAAGAAATGAGGGCGGAGTTGGCAAGGGAGAGGGAGGAGAGGAGGTGGGAGGTGCAGGAGGTAGAGAGGAGAAGAGCAGCAGACTTGATGGAGATGAGTGGGCAGATGGAGGAGAGGGAGAGAGAGCTGGCAGCAGTGAAGGGGGAGCTGGCTGAACAGAAGGATGTTCTTGTGAAGTTGTATGTTGACCTGCAATTCAGAGAGAGTGAAGGCGATCAGAAGACGGCATGGCAGGTGTGTACTGATTGAACTCTTTCATAGGGCAGGCATGGTGGCACAGGGCAGGGATGGTGGCAGACGTGTTTTCCTTTGTCACAACAATGGTCTCCTTTTCTTGTCATTCATTCCCTCTTCATCCTTCTCCTCCAGCGAATTAAGTCAGCATCACACGGAACTGACCTGGTCCTGAAGAATCTCAGCATGCTCTCAGAAGCTATGCTTGCCCATGTGTCCACAATGAGGCATCTGAAGAGCATTAACTTGTGCGGTAGTTCAGGCTTCAGTGCAGAGGGCATCAAGCACCTCTACAGGCTGCCACTGTTGGAGACGCTAGATCTCAGAAGCACAGATGTGTCAGAAAGTGCCTTGGAAGGCATTGGGCATCTCATCAGCCTCAAAACCCTCTATCTCTGGAGGACCAAGGTGACTGATGCTGGTCTGGCGTACTTGACAAGCCTCTCCTCTCTCAGAGTGCTATTTCTTTCTGAGTGCAGCGGTGTGACAAATGCTGGCATGGTGCATGTGGGAAGGCTGACAGGGCTGGAGGACCTTCGGTTGGGTGGCACGGCAGTCACGGATGATGGACTGCAGCAGCTGACTGCCCTGACCAAGCTGGCATCTCTCCGGTTGCCAAATGGAAATCTGGTTTCCAATGAGGACGTGTGCAGGTGGATAGGCAGGTAGGATGACAGGGTGATGGAGGGAGGGGCTGAGTTGACTGCTTGGACAATAGTGAGGGGAGGTGCGGAGGGAAAGGGGTGTGGAGGAGTGTGCAAGTTGACTTGGCAAAGCCTTTTCTGTGTACAACCTAGACTGGCTTACGTGCGATTTGTATATAAATAGCAGGGGTGTGTATGCATGTTAGACCATGGTGGGGGCATGCACTAGGGTGTATGGTCTGTTCAAGTGCATTGTGTTGGCTAGGCTGGTTAGCATGCTGCTGCATTACCCGCCCATGCCGTAGTGGACTGTGACTGGCGGATTTGACCGATTGGCATGGTACACAGGGTGTGGTTGCATGGGATGGATGTACATGAGCATGCAAGCCTTGCCTTGGCAAGGCTTTTCATGTATACAACCTAGCATAGTAAGGGAATATGTGACTTGTAGCATCATTTAGAACCCCTCTGGCGATTACTACCACATCAATGAAAGAACATTATATCTGGAATGGCTGGTTGTGAATTGTGCAAAATTATTATAGCACAACGCATACCATAGGTTGTGCAAGTACACCCCCAAATTCCAGCCCCACACTTCACCCACACAGTCATCTACATGGCAACCTAATTGTGTCCCTCAGAACTCAAGATGATTTTTCTGGGATGGGAGCACAAGTGAAGGGCAGGTATGGCAGTGCAGAGCACTGGCGATATGCAAAAACAGAAGCGATCTGGGAATGGCAGAGTAGTAGGATGCATAGTATTAAGTGAGGTATGCAATAACGTATGCCCCTGGATCATACCAGGATAAGACATAGGCCACAGCAGGCCTATTGATGCATCATGCTGCCACAAGGAAGGAGGTGATGCAAGGATAGATGGGATTGGGCAATAAGAGATGCAGGGTGACAGGGGCTGCAAACACATCTTGGAAATGTTGCAGAGAGGGGGGGGGGGGGGGGGGGGGGGGAGTCAAGACAACTGGCAGGAAGGAGGTGAACGGGATGTGCAGAGAACAACCAGTCCAACCTTCAGACTTCCAGCATTTCCAGCACATGCCCCGAGCATCACCTTCCCATACCATGCTGACCCCGGGTTTTAAGCTCAAAACATAATATAGGAAATGAGCGGAGTGCAGGCATGAGAGGGCACCGCACTGATGATTCGCAAAAGCAGAAGCAAATTGGAAAGAACAGAGAAGTAGGGTACCCACCATGGGATGAGCTTTGGAAGGAGATGCGCGTGCACATCTGTGGCATCACTTCTGATAGGTCGCACAAGCACGGCAGTTCATGTATCATGGATCGCCATAAGCTGTGGACCTACCGATTTGGATTCCTATTTACCATCTCCGTGGCCATTGCTGTTGTGCTAGAAGCTGCTTGTGGCAGCGCCATGCCCTCAATCAGGTGGCATGGCGTGGAGGGAGGTGAGGCTGGTGGAGAGGGCAACTGAGGGAAGCCATACCATGGAGGCTGATGTTTGGCGCATGGCCATGCCACTGCTAGGAGCTGCTGAGGGGAGAAAGGGGGGTGGCAGGGGAAGGGAGGGGTCGGAAGGGTCAGAGATGGATGTATAAGAAGATCGGTTGATGTACGTGTGCCATGGGATGAAGTGATGGGCACGGCATGATGGAAATGCACGAGTGAGGTGCTGATAGGTAGAAGGCACGAGGGTAGGATAGGGTAAGCCATGAGTGTTTTAAACAAATAAGCTTCCTGAAAGCCCCCATGCCGGCCTGCCCCATTCCGCCTTGCTGCCCTGTCGTTAAGTGCCATGCTGCCCTATCTCTGCAGCACCGCGCCGCTGCTGCTGCTGCTGTTAAGGCCACGCCGTCCCATCACCACGCTGATGCTGTGACTGCACTCCACGCTGCTGCCCACCATGCCACTGCCAACGCCATTGCCATGCTGCCATGCTGCAGGCGCTGGGGGAAGCGCAGGGAGGAGGAGGTGAGTGTGAGCATGATCGCGCCCATGAGGATGAGAGGGGAGGGAGTGAAACATTCCCAAGGAGCAGGAGAGGGCGGGCACCGTGCTGGACACACCCCCCCCCAACCATCTGCGCCACCACGGACGCCCGTATACGCGTCCCCACCTGCAGCTCTTGACTCCCCCTTCCTTCCTCCCCTTTCTCACCAGCCCGCGCCCCTCCCCCCCTGCTACTCCATCCCACGCTCGCTGCCTCTCACTCCTCCCTCTGCCTGCCCCTCCTTCGCGCTGCTGCTCCACTGCACCCACTGCCTGTCTGGCCCCGTCGCTTGCGGCACCCAGGTGAAGTGGTCCCACAAAGGAGCAGACGGCGAGCACGGATGCTGCGGGGCTCACTTGGGCGGACGGCGACAAGGAAGGAGAGCAAGGAACAGGATGAGCGACACGGGGAAGCGAGAGGGGGGAGAAGCGGGGACGAAGGGCAAGGACGGTGGGACGGAAGGAGAAGGAAGGTGAGATGAGGGCAGTGGGGGCGGGGAGCAGGCTACAGTGATGGCACCGACGACACCGTAACCTTCCTTGGTGCCGCCACGCCTGAGGTGACGGCGCTGGAACAGCAGAATGGCAGGTACACGCACGCGACGTCGAAGTGGTGCGCCTTGGCGCGCACGCTGTACACACACTGCTGCTGATGTGGCAATCGTGACTGCCAGATGGTGATGTGTGATGATACGCGGATGAGATAAACAGAGGGTAGGCAGCATCAACTGACGCAAAAGCATCGGCGAAAGGAGGAAAGTGAGAATCTCCGATATGCAAGCCGGATAGAATGGAATGACAGAACCGGCCTTACATCAGGCCTATTTCTAGGGTTTCGCATATTGAAACCTTGTGAGGCTATGACGCATAGGCGTAGACGCTTGAATCTGAGCTCCGCAATCAGATCCGAATGCCATGTCACGATCTGAAATGCGCAGTACTAGCTGTGCTGTGAGCTTCACTCGATGAAATGACATGCGTATGAATTAGAAGTGAGGCAGAGGCCAAACGACGTAGGCTCTCGGCGCTGAGCGACTCTCAGAGAGGTATGGAGGCGAGCAGTTGAATGGCGAGACGAGGGAGATATACTGCCTCTCCAGCCCACTCACTAGCACGCCCCGCTCCTGCGCACCTTCTCCCTTGCGCTCTCCCCTTCTCCCTCCCCCTCATCTCCTCCCCCTCATCTCCTCCCCCACTCCCCTTCCCTCCCTCCCCTCTCTCTCCGCTGTCCACGCCCTGCACTGCCAGCTCGTCCATCAGCCACCGCGGTGCCGCCGCCACCGCCGCCGTCTCCCATGCCCCCTCGCCTTCCCCTTCGCTCCGGCAAGTTGCCGCAGGATGGAGGAGCGAGTGGAGGAGGCTACAGCCATGGCGCTGAGAACGCCGCAGCCCGGCCTTGAGGCGCTCCTTCTCTAGCAGGTCGAAGATGACCAGGATGGAGAGTGGGCTGGAGTACAATGAAGTGAGCAGAGCGGCCGGAAGGTCCCGGGAAACAACGGTGGTAGAAGAAAAACAGTTTCTGTAAAGGGTATTGTTGTGCAAGAGAAAGGAGGGGAGAGAAAAAGAAAAGTAGAAAGGCAAAGGGAGATGGGACTTATAGAAACAACAGTTAACTTATTGTGAACTAGATATTGACACTCCATCACACCTTTACATCAATGCAAGTAGGTGAGGTGGGGTTTGCAACGAGCGGCAGTAGAACCAACAGGGGTGGGACAGAATGGATCCTTTCTGAGGAGGAATCGGCGGGGAGGGGCATGTCGGCTGGGAGAGGCGTGGCGGCGGGGAGATGGGGAACGCGCAGGAGGGACCAGGGGGGTGGTGGTGGGGGAAGGGTGGGGGAAGGGGTTTGACGGGCGACGGGGAAGGGGAAAGAGAAGGAGGGCCGGTGGTGGGAGAGTGGTATGCTTGCCTCCACAAGCACCCGCCGCGGCTGCTGCGGCTGCTGTGGTATTGACAAGCATATTCTCTTCACCGCACCTGAGACTGTTGCTGCCACTGGCCGGCCTTGTAACGCGCCGTGTGTGGAGAGGCGTTGGGAGCAGTGGCCGCACAGGGAGCGGGCATGGGGGCAGCCGGGGGAGTGGGGATGAAGGGGGGAATGGCGTGGCCCCGGGGTGCGGAAGGCCCTACCGGCATGGTGTGGCTGGCGGGTACGAAGCTGGGGTAGGCGGGGGCTGGGGAGGAGAGGGGCAGCGATGGCATACCATGGCTTGTGCTGACGGAGTGAGATGGGCGTGAGGGAGCGGATGGGGATGGGGACAGGGGCGCAGGCGCCGCCTTTCCCAGCAGCGACTGCGGAAGCTGCGAATCCACCTCCGCCACTTTCGCCCATGCCTCTTCGCCGCCCACTCCCGATAACACACCCTACCACCGCTCACGTCCCCCCTTACCCTGCCCGTGTTGCACCCGTTGCTGTGACCACCGCGGCTGCAGCTGCTTCTCACCTCAGGCTGCGACCACCCTGCAGCTGCGTTGGCCTCGACAGCGTGCACCCTGTCGACTGTCCAGCGCTGCCTGCCTGCCTCTCTACTCTGCCCTCGCTACCCTGCTCCTCCCCCACCCACCCCCCTGTCCCCCCCCGATCCCCCCTGAATACATTCCGCGCCCTCCCCTCCTCTCCGCCCCTGCCCTGTTCCGCCAGCGTCACCGCCGTCACCCCTCATCGCCGCACCCCGCTCCTTCTGCGCCCTTCGCACCTGCTCCGCCGCGAAAGCAATCTCCCTTGCTGAACCCGCGCAGCTTCCGCCTGCTTCCCTGCGCCTGCCCCTGGCTTTGCCGCATCATCTGCATCATTTGCCGTACCCCTGCGAGCGCTGAGAACTGGTAGCGAAGGGGAGCGATGACAGAAGCTGCATGTCTGCCCCTCTCGCGGCCTCTGCATGGCAGGTGCTGCCAGGGAAAACACAAGAGTCGTAGGGGTTGAAAATCGGTAACGATTGGAAGGGCTAATGGGAATAATGGGAATACTGGGAGGTGATGAGAGGGACCGCCCCTATCGCCACCTCTGTATGGTCTGACTGAAACCGTCGCCAGGTGCTGCCAGAAACGCACATGAGGGGAGAGGCGAAGAAGTGGAAAGGGGCAGACGAGTGCGGTAGTTATGGAAGGGGGAGATTGCATGGGCTAGCAGGTGCTGCCGCATTATGAGAAATGGGGGCAACAATGTGGGAGCGATAGGGGGGCGATGGGGGAGCAATGGGGGAGTGTTGGGGGAGTGATGGGGGAGTGATGGGGGACCGACTGGGAGAATGGATGGGGGGAACGGGATGGGGGAACGGGATGGGGGAACGGGATGGGAGCAATCGGATGTGTGGCATGGGATGGGATGGTAAGCCCGACAGCACGCACCTCCCTTATGCGGTGTGCAGCAGCAGAGTCATGAGCCCTGTGCGACCTCGCTTGCGCCCTGCATCAGCCGCTAGAAACGGCGTCCCCGCCTCCACGGAGCGGCGAGCCATCAGTGCTTGCAGCAGTATCTTGTTCACCTTCTGATCAATGCTCGCCTCCAACCCCACCACCGCCCTCTCCGCCTCACTCTACGCTGATTTCAATACCTCTTCACTCCTCTTCGTCCTCATTTCTAGCCTTTCTTTCCTGTCGCCCTCTCTCTCGCATTCGCCTCTTCCTCTCCCAGTCTCCTTCCTTATTCTCTCATTCTGTTCCTCTCTTCCTTCCTCACCCCCTTCCTCTCTTCCTCTCTCATCCTGATTCGTACTACCTGTCTCCTCCTCTCGTAATCTCTCACTCTCTTCCTCTCTTCCTCTCTTCCTCCCTCAACCTCTCACACTCGTCCTCTCTCTTCCTCTCGTCTCTCACCCTCCTCTTTTCTTCTCTCACTTTCTCCCTTTCTTCGTCTCTCACCCTCCTCTCTTCCTCTCTCACTTTCTCCCTCTCTTCCTCTCTCTTCCTCTCCTCCATCTGCCCAAGCCTCTCCGCCAGTCTCGTCGTCACGCCAACCTTCATGGCGCGCAGCAAGCACCATCGGCTCACGCCCATCAGCTGCTCTAACGACAGCTCCTCCGCGCTCCCTGTTCCTCCGCCCATCATGCCGCTCGCGCGCATCGCCACGTCGACCTGCCGCCTCCGCGCATGCATTCCGCCTCCACCGAACTCCCTCGTTTCCCCAACCTCCGCCTCGGCGATTTCCCAGTTCTCCGTTGCGCCCTTCTCAGCACAGCATCTGCGCTTTCTGCGCTGCGCCTCGCCGCGCAAATCGCCGCAAAGGGTCCAGCCGTTCATCCTCTCTCATCTGTTCTTTGCGGATGCCCTGGGGCAAAAAGAAAGGTGATTTCTGCTTCATCCCCCGAATGCGCTGCTTCTACTGCACCTTGTTCCTACCAGGGCCAGAAAAGGCGGCCTTGAAATGCGACCCTGAAAAGTGGCTCTGAAACTGCGATCTTGAAATGCGACTGGTGTGCCGCAGCGACGAGGAACTAAGTGGGAGTGACGATCATAGGCAAATGAAACAAATAGCTTGGGAGAAAGGGAAGTCAGGGCTGGAAGTCATAGGGCGAAGGTGTGGGGAGGGCAAAGAAAAGGAGCAAGCCCATCAAGTTTTTTGTAGAGCGTTTTTGCTGCGGCACAATTTAGGTTTTGATACAGTAGTGTCAAGCTGTCACAACTCTTTTCACTTTGACTCACAAACGAGGACTAGGAATGTTGTGTGGCGAGCGCTGCAGTTCCTCGCCACTCCGTTTTGCCTTCGCCCAAAGCAACCTGTCGAAGTTTACTTGAACAACACCTTCGCCAACAGCTTCACCAACACCTGCGCCAACACCTTCTTTGGGTGAAGTCAGGATGTCTGGGATTGGGAAACCAACCATCCTGATTTCAGCCGAAGGCTAGATTTCTCATCAGGCAAGACCAGATTTCACCGAAGATAGTGTTTCAGCCATGACAACAGCAAAGGTGGTCACTGAACAACAACCTGGGTCCTCTCGATCGCGACGATCTAGGTTACATCGGCAGACCGTCAAGTATTATTTCACACCCGATTAGTCTTTTGCGGAAACGGACGGTTGGATCGCACTTTCCAGTCACATCTTCATTGGACTTGGCTTCCCCATGGCAACATCCAACGTGTTCAGAGGACGCATCCACGGTGGGATGCCAGGAGCGTATGCGATCAGAATGAACTGTCCAGCACTTTTCTACCCCATGAGACTAAACGTGATTGATGCTTCTCCAGAACGATGGTCACAGTTGACGGAGCCTCGCTTGCCTGGGGCAATGAGAACGCGTCGCACAGTGTCGCATGAATCGCAAAGCGTCGCATGGGTGGGGAATTCGGCCGATGACAAAATCTGATTGGTCTCACAGCTTCAGCTTACTCGGCAATCAGAGTCTCGTTGAACTTCAGTCAGGGACTGAGAGAGCGTATAACCGGCCGTTTCCGTTCCAGTGAAACCGACAGATTTGAATTAGCAAGTTTCTACTTCAACTGGAAACTAGCAACTTGATTTGAATCCTGCATCTCCCGTCATGGGCTTTTGGCGAGATCAATTTCGGCGAGTCCGCAGGATGCGTCACGTCACGAATGAAGTCCATTTGGTACCAATAGCTTCGGAATCTAAGACGAACGGAGCACAGGTAGGTGTCTCTTACTGATGCTCCTGAGGAACTTCTGTTCTCGGTTTGCAACCGACTGTTTCAGTCCCACCTGCACTACTGCTGCCTGCCATGCGAGACGTCAGCAGCATTTAGACCATGATGAAGCGGCAGAGCAAACTTTCACAAATTTGGAGCAACAGGCTCGTTCGTGACTCTTGAGCAGCAAGTTTGCCATTTTCTGGCTTGATAATTGAGCAAATCAAGCTCAGTGCAGGTACAACCAGCAACGAGTCCGCACTAGAAAAAGTGCATGGGTAAGGGCGAGACGAAATCTGATCCGTTCAGGGAAGCTCCTGGAGTTGAATCAACTACTGGTGTGCGTCGTCCTTCGTTCCCTCTCACTTCGTTTGTTGGTTATTTCACCCAACTGGATCCCATCATGCCTAGTACCAAGGAAGACGAGAGGCACAAGCCAATGAGAGGAGCCCCGACAGGAACTGGCGGAGCAGAGCTGAATTCCAGTGATTCTGATGCTGGCAGTAGCAAGGCCAAGGAAGTGGGGAAGGTAGGCGCTGCCAAACATGAGCAGTGGTTAGAGCTTCAAAATTTGGAAGAGTGGCTGGATGCCTTGCTGGGGGCAGGACAGTACCAGCAGGGTGGACAAGGTCAATTCACTGCCGCAAACAGAGGGGAAGCAGAGAAGGCGGTAGAGGAAGAAGACAAGATTATGACGCGAAAGAAGCACGCTTGTTGCAGTTCACTGTGAAATTGGGGATGAGAAATCCTGGGGTGTTGCAAAGCGCACACGGTTATGCAGTCCAGAATGACCCGGATGGAGCGGGACAGCCCACCGGGGCAACCGGAGGAGCAGCAGGGAGAGCAATAGTGGAGGAACGTTCAAAGCCACTTCAGCTGCTGTCTAGGCTGGACATGGTTCACTACTTGAACGTGACGGGCGGGTGGGATGAGGATCTGCGTGAATGCTGCTTTTAGCGTGCAGTGAGCCAGCGAGCTCTTGCCATAAAGAACCTGGAGGACTTGCGTCGCCACCTGCGCGTGCAGCAGCCTCGTTGCATCCCCGCAGCAGACCCCAAGCAGCAGCAGCATCATGCAATGTCTCCTCAGGTGCTATTTGTGTGGAAGCCCGAGAGGGCGCCTCGCCTTTGCGCAGAACGGATGTTTCTCGAGTGGATGGCTGAGCCTTGTGTGGGTGTGCTCATGAACCTGCAGAAGATCAGATCTCGTCTGCCTGCTATCCTGGATGCAACAGCTGCTCCAGCTGCCCCTGTTGCTGCCCCTGTTGCTGCCCTTGCTGCTGCTCCTGCTCTTCCTGCTGCTCCTCCTGCCCCTGCTGCTGCCCCTGCTGTTCCTGCTGCTCCTCCTGCTCCTGCTGCTTCTCCAGTGTGGTCCTGCTGCTGGCGCTGCAGCGGCTGCTGGGCTGCCTACCGCCGTGCTGTCAATGTCTCAACGTTCCTTGTGCTTGTAGCGAGATCCCCTCACCTTGTGACTCTGTGGAAAGCTCATTTGGTCTCGTCTTCGTCTGCCTGGCCAGCAATTGTCACTGAGCTGGGGGGGAGCAGGCAGGGGGAGATTGACAATTTTGCGTCCATGCTGGTGCAGGTGCTGGGGGTGAAGGAGAGTGCTGATCTAAAGGAAGGGTTTGGGTTCTTTGTGCAGCAACTGCTGTCAGGCGGGCTGGAGATGGCGCATGCACAGGGGAGGGGGGGAGGTGGGGGCAAGGCTGCTGAGAAGGTGCATGGGAAGGGGAAGGGGATGGGGTTGGCTGAGGAGAAGGCTGTCGAGAAGACGTATGGGGGGGCGAAGGGCATGTGCGAGGCTTCACCTGGGAGGGAGGATGGGAGACACGGAGAGGAAGAGGCAGGGAGCAAGGTAGAGATGGATGGGGTTGTTGGCGTGTGGGGGAGGGCACGAAAGGACGTGAAGTGGAGGGCGCATCTGAAGGGACGTGTGTGGGAGAGGTATGTGGATGGCATGAAGTGGATTCTGGAACATGGTGGGGGGGAAGGGAGGGAGTTCTGGTGCAGCCACTGCAGTGAGGACAGCAGCAGCAGCAGCAGCATCAGCAGTTCTGGCAGCAGCAGTTGGAGAAGCAGTGCTCCAAAGGGTATGCATGTGAGTGGTGTAAATGCGACCGATTTCGCCCTTGCTGTCACCACAGTGTTATTTAAACCAGAGCACTGGATGGATGCATGGTTGTTCTTCCATGATGGGAACAATTTGAACAAGATGAAGGTAGAAAATGCAGCTGTTGAGGTGGCCAGGAAGAGGCTGCTGCATTGCCTGAAGCAGACAAAGGGGATGGATGGAGAAGAAGGGGCAGATGCAGGAGCGGCCCTGCCTGGTTCAAACTCTAGACTTGTGCCTGTCAATACAAAGCCGGTGGTTGCTGCACTCACCTATCGAGTTGGTTGCATCTTGCAGTGGATCCGGGTCTACGGCTCAGATTTCATCTCGGAGAAACAGTGCTTCATAAACGACCCTCAGAGCAAGGTCAGGTCCATGCGCCATCCGCTTCGGGACCTTCCTAGCCTTCTGCTCAGGTTCGGCGCCATCCCGAAGCCTCTAGAGGGAAGCAGCATTGCTTTGGAGTGGGAGGAGTGGGCTGCAGGCGAGGAAGCTGCTGTGAAGTTTCCTGTGAACCGAAAGGAGAGGTGTTTTGGGCTTGGGATAGTGGAGGAGCGTGGTGAAGCAGCTGAGAAGCTGATTGGGCATCCTGCAGAAGGCCAAGGAGGTAGTCAAGAAGGAGAATGGAGCATGGCGCGTGGGATAGCTGAAGCAGGAGAGGGCAGCAGGCGTGCAAGGAGGAGAGTGTCCAAGTCGATAGAGCAAGGAGCTTGGGAGGAATCCATACAGAGCAGAGCGCGTGGAAGAGCCAAAGCATCTGGGAACGACGAGCAGAGAGTAACACTGCCACCCCCGAGAAGGAAGCTTCCTATTGTTCGCTGCGAGGCAGATGTGGACTTCCTGGTGGGGTTTGCCGGGTATGTCATGCACCCTCCTGCCTGCACCCAGTGCAGCACCTGCTCTGCGGAATTCATGCAATCCGTGTGCATGGCTGCTCTCATTGTCAACTTTGCTTACTGCCCCGTCAGCCATCTGTTCTCCCGCTTGCTCTCGGTCTTCCCTCCCTCCTCCCCTGGCTTCGACAAGCTGGTTGAGTGTCTGGACCTCCCCGCACGCCTGCCCAGGCCGTTGAACCTGCACATGCTGCTGAGACGAGCGGAGCAAGTGCCTCTGTACTTCCTCATTCACATGGCAGTGTGGTGCGCTCGTCCTCTTCTGAATCTTGCTTGTTCTGAGGGAGGGTACAGTGAGAAAGGGCAGGGAGTGCAGTCAGGTGCACGAAAAAATGAAGTGGCGGAAATGGGAAAAGGTGGCAGTGTGAAGGTGCAAGGCTGCTGGGATGGTGAGGTGTGGGAAGAGGTGGAAATATGGTACTTTGCAGCAATGAAGACATGGATGTCAAACCTGAGGGTTGAGGGAGGGAGTGAGGAGTGCAGCGGCAGCAGAGAGCGGGAGAGGCCTACAGGGGGGTTCGATATCACGTGGGCTCTTGCAGCGGCGATCATCCCGAGATACTGTGAGGGGTTGCAGGGGCAGCAAAGGTCTGCCATGGGGAGCAGCAACAAGGGCAGCAGCAGCAGCAGCGGCGGCGGCTGTGAGAAGAAGGGCGAGAAGGGGGAGGAGCCGGCGTATCTGAAGGCATGGCCAGGGGGAGTCAATCTGGTGGCATGTCTGCGAGAGATGCTGCTGGGGGAGCCGTGCTACCACCCTGCCTCCCCTGCTGCCCCTTCCATCCATGCTACTGCTTCCACCCATCCTGCTGCTTCCACCCATCCTGCTGCTTCCACCCATCCTGCAGATAGCATCCGAGCTGGATCTGCTGCTACCGCTGCTGCTGCTTCAGGTGTCCGAGGCCGTGTGTGCGGTGCTGCGGGATGTGGGATGGTGGAGGGTGGCGGAGTGAAGCTGAGGAGGTGCGGTGGGTGTGGCAAGGTGGCGTATTGCAGCAGAGAGTGCCAAAAGGCGCACTGGCCCTCCCACAAGCTCACATGCCCTGGCAGGAACAGCGGGGAGAAGAATGGGAAGGATGGGAGTGGGGTTGGGAGCAAGGATGGTCGCATAAAAATTGGCAAGGAGAGTGATTGTGAGGGTTGCGGTGAGAGTGGTGGTAAGGAAATATGCAGGCAGGTTAGAAAGATGTTTGGCGAGGTCAGTTGCATAGGCAGGCGCAAGGACAGTGCTAGGCATACGTGTGAAAGCGTCAGTGAGGAAAGCTTGAAGGTTGGTGGCAAAGCTGAGAAAAGGAAGGAAGAGAGAAGGAAGGTGGGGGCGGAGGGGAGGGGAGGGAAGGATAGGGGTGCGCAGTAGCTCAAAGATTGCAGGAGGTTTAGGGAGAATACAGAGGGACTATGACAGAGGAATCACAGATGAGAGAGCTTTAAGGCTTGGTAAATTTAATGCTGTGGGATACTTTGGCTTTTGATTACTGAATGTTTCATTGCCATTACATGCCAACATGCTGCATAGCGGACAGCAACAAGAGAAAAAATCTCAGCCCTGGAATATTTGGATATAAATCAGTTCTCACCATCAGTTCCCACCATGTGCACCCCTAGACCCTGCTGTGCAATGTATTGCACCACCTCACTGCATCTTCATCCTTCCACAGCGCATCGTCTGAACGTCGTCATGAACAAGTGGTGTGGGATGTGAGAGGGGCGTCCACGAAAAGGCAGCAGAATGAAGACATGTGGGATTGGAGCATGCACAGCCAGAAAAGGAAGCGTAGTGGCTCAGTATGTGTAAAAAAGGCGTGAGAGAGGAGAGGAGAGTACTGGTCAGACATAAATCCCACCAAAACGCTAACTACCCCATCATTGCAACACCCAGCATCACACCATGACACCAACACAGAACACACCGGCGTGTTGACTTGTTGGAAGATAATTACCCCCACTGTATACAAACCACCATCCCACCACCCCATGACCCACCAACACCTTGAGCCGTCGGAATATGGTCACTCCCCGCCACGCAACCATCAGTTCAAGGTCCTGCGGCGTCGATACCACCACCGCTCCTGGTGAGGGGCATGGGTGGATGAATGGGTGGGGAAGGAACAGTGGATGGGTGAGACGGAAGAGACGATTGGAGGAGAGGAGGGTGGAGGACTGCGAGCAGATTCAGCAAATGAGAAAGTGAGTGCGAGTCACGAGGCATCCGTGGGGGCAGGGTGCTGTGGTGTGTTGACACCATCAGCAGTGCTGGGAGCATGGGGCAGGCAGTGTGGTGTGACAGCACACCTCCCCAGCTGCACCTCCCCAGTGGCCATTCAGTGGGGCCACCACCAGCACATGCACCAACCCATCTCCACCTCTTCCTCCGATAGTGCTGGCCTCATACCATCCCATCCCATCCCATCCCATCTCAACTCCTCCCTCCCCTCCTGCTCCATCCCATCCCATCCCATCCCATTCCATCCCATCCCATCTCATCCCATCCCATCCCATCCCAACCCATCCCATCCCATCCCATCCCATTGCATCGCATCCCATCCCATCCCATCCCATCCCATCCCATCCCAAACCACCCCATCCCCACAACCATCTCTCTCCCCCCCCCCCCCCCCCCCTCCCCCCCCCCACCCCCCCCCCACACACCCCATCCCATCCCATCCCATCCCCTCCCCTCCCCTCCCCTCCCTTCCAATTTTCTCCCCTCCTGTCCCCTCCTTGATCACCGCGCTACACAGCGGCCACGCGAGCAGGCACGAGGAAGCCCATGGACATGCAGAGCACGCCGAGCGCCTGCAGTGGCAACATGGGCGCGTGGGTTCGGGCGAGGCCAGCAAGGGGCGGCCGGTAGTCTCTAGGTCCAGCGAGCAGAGGGCAGCCGGCGATGTCCAGGGCGAGCAAGTTGGGCAGTGAGGGGCCGACCACGTCGGCGTTTAGCAGCCCCACCTGCAGACGCATGTGACGGCGTGGGACACTGCCGGGTTCACTGGGGGGACGGAGGATGGGGGGACAGGGAGATGGGGGAATGGGGAGAGGATTGATTGGGGATGGAGGAGGGGGTAGGAGGAACGGGGGGAGGGAGTGATGCGGGTGGGAATACGGGTATGTGAGAGGCATGGGGTGAGAAGCAAGGGTGACAGACACGGGTTCAAACGAATTCAGGAAAAGGGACGGGGCAAGGTGAATGGGGTAAGAGGCATTGTAAGAGAGGAACGGGGTGAAAGGGCTGGGACGACTGGTGCTTGAACTGAAGGAGGCAGGGGTGAGCAAGGCATGTGTGGAAGCCCGTGGGAATGCAGAGCCACCTTTCGCGGACGCCAGCCACGATGTGTTTCAACCCGGGCAGCAACAGGCTGTCGTCATCACCGCCTCTGCTGCCAATGCCGCTTCTATTGCTGCGGCTGCTGCCGAAAGCCTGCTGATGAAACCCCTGCTGCTGCTGCCATGTGGAGTCCAGATGCTCCCACCTGTGCTGCCTAGCGTGCTGCTGCAAGTCGTACTGCGGGGAAAGGCACCTATGCTGCCTATACGCACGGCACTGTTGCTGTCTAGCGTGCTGCTGAGATTCGCGGGATGATATATCTCAGCGGACGAAAAACGCCGCCCAATTTCGCGGTTCAGAAGGGACAACGGCCCTCCTCGGGATTGACGAGCTCGCGACGACCTCCGAGCTCCGAGCTGGGCCCAAATGGCGTCCCAGGGGCCTCGTGAGCCCTCGGGAATGTCGACAATCCGACGACATAGGTTTGCGCTCGGAGATTCCTGAGAAGTAAATCTCAGCGGACAAAATAGGAGAGCTCGCCACGTCGAGCCGCGACTGCCGCCACACGGACCAATAGGGGGGAGCCGGACCGTCCCCACCGTGTACTAGGCTGCCACGACGTGGCCGTCGTGGCCACGCGTCGCCCCAGCGGTGATTTTCCCAAAGCGGGAAAACATTCACACCTTTGAAAATGGGCCAGCTCGATCCACGCGGCAAAAATCGGACCGTCCAGGATGTAACTGTTCTGTGGCATCGCGTGTTGCATGCGATGTCGGTGTCTACCAGTACATCCACAGGCCCACAACCAAGCCACGCGGCACAATCCCAACGCTATCTATGTTCAATGAACCTAAGGAAACAGCCAAGCGCGCCGAATGTAAGTCGGCGCCGATCTTTGGGCGCCCACGGTAGGACTGCCACGGTGGGATTCAAGAATTCCGGCACCCTCGGAGATTCGAGCCTGCATGCAGTAATTTCGGTACTAAGAGGCCAATGTCGGCCCCAAGCCACGTAACACACGCCCATTCCACCGTGGAAAGGGCCTGGCTTATGCCCCTTCGGTGCAGCGCGAAGTCACAATAGCCATGCTTGGCGCGTGGCACTTCGGGCAGTGCGCCGCCTATGCGAGAACACATGCACGGCGGCAGGAGCATAGGGGTGTGCGTGAATCGCAGCAGCGTTGGAGTCGCTCAGGACCATACCCGTCCGTGACCGTGCGGGCCTGCTCATTCCCATGTCCGTTCCTGCGTTTCTTCCTGCTCTCTCGTGCACTTAGAATTTTCAGTTGCCAGTAGGGTACTCGGTTGCCGACTTGGTCAGTAGACGGTTCAAGTCGACGACGCATGGCCAGAGGTCGCCCTAGAGCACAATAGCCGCAACCCATTCCACCCCCTGCCGACTCTGTAGACGCCGACATCAAAGCGCAGTTAGAACGGCTCAAGGTCGAAGCCGAGTTAGACGCACTTGAGCGAGAATTCGAAGAAGTCCGCCGCCGCGGAACTCTACGCGCGTTCACCGCATCCGTGAATCAGTACCGTCTCTGGTTTACCGACCTCCGCATCGCAAACGGACGACGGTAGAGCAACATACGTGCTGCCACATGGCCAACGTCGACATGACTGGCGCTAGACCATCCACCGACCACAGTCCGACATCTACCGAGGAAGAGACGCTCCCCTTACTCTATGATCTTGAAAAGCTGACGCAGATTCCGGAAGGGGAGTTCACCAAGGACATTCCCCCACCGCCGATCGGGGATTTCAACAAGAAAAAGAAACAGAATCCGACGCGAAACGGACGGCCAGGAACTTCGTCGGCACCGGCCGGCTCTGGAAACCAGGTTGAGGTCGAAGAGGAGGAGGATGGGGGGGAGGAGGAGGAGGAGGAAAGCGATGACGAAAACGACGAGCGTCCGCCGCGTAGCACTAGTCAGCGCACCTTGAAAGAACGGCTCAGGCGGGAACTTGAATACATAGATGACCTGCTCGAACAGGACGAGGATGCCGACCAGGAGAATTTGTCGGTGCCGCGTGAACAGTGGAGGGCGGCAGACTTCGTAGAGGAAGACATGGTGTACGCGACCATCGACGTGCTCGTCTTGGACGCCCTACGCCACCTGCAGACCGTGGAGAGGAACAGCACGCTGAGGCAGTACACCTCGTGGATCTATCACTACAAGAGTTGGGCGGCGAAGATGTTGATGCAAATTCGCAACAAGCTTCCCCAGGAGTACAGGCTTAAGCGCGTCAACAAGATAGGGCACTACATCCGGGACAACAAGAACAAGAATTGGGACCAAGAGGCCGATGTCCCCCGGTCGCACGTGTGGCTGCACGGCCCTAGGGTCACCACGTCCCGGCTTCGCGCATACGTGAAGTACATGGCTCGGGAGATGAAGCTCGATGCCGAGTCCAGCAAGGAGGGCGACAACGCCACAGGAACACAACCTGTGCAATCCACAACGGTGCACACGCTCCTTCGGGCGCATAAAGGCATGCCAGATGGCGGCGAGAGTGGAGGCGACGATATACCGGGAGACGGAGCTGAGCATCATGCGTGAGATATCGGTGGTCAGGTCGGAGGTGCGGTTCATGATCCGCACCAAGAACGAGCGGGACCTCAAGTGAGTTTTTGTTTAACCTCTGTCGACCACTCTCTTATTGTCATGTACTGTGTCGACGTCTCCCTAAATGCCCCTTACCCTCGGCATTGTCGGCAGGAACTGCACCGATCGGCGTTGCGGAACCATTGGCGATACCTACACCGCAGAACAGTTCCGCCAGATCATGTTCAGGGTGCTGCCGACGTGGGCGGCTAAGGCTTGGAACCCGCGGGGTACGGGCCCGTCGCAGACGCTGTGGCGGTTTCTGCTGTTGAAGGTGCTCACGCTACTCTCCCACCATTCTCTCCTGCGCGGGGCAAGCATCCGCGAGATCACGCTCCCCGACATATTCTTGTACCGACTGGCGAGCACCTCGTCGGTGAACCCGGAGAACCAGCCGGTCGTCATGGTCATCGCTGCGCGGAACTCGAAGACGTCCAAGGATGCGCGTCTGCAGCAGAGCTAGACTGCTCGGCACCTCGAAGCGGAGTTGAGCGCCGTCAGCGAGACGGGCCTGTGGTTGCACTTCATCCTCGACCAGATCGGCCAGTTTCACGGCGTCCGCCTCATTCCGCCGGTGGACACCAGCACACGCGCGAGCTGGTACAAGAAGCACCTCTTCTTTACCAAAAACGACACCGACCAAGGGGAGCTCTCCGCGGCAAGCCACCAACGCTGGACGCGGCAGTTGTGGGACAAGAACGGGGTGTTCTGCAAGAGGAACATGCACGCCGCTCGAGCGGGAGGGGCCCAGGAGCTGGCCATCGACGGCACGCCGCGCGCCGAGATCGCGGAGCTAGGTCACTGAGCGCTCGACAAGATGACGTGAGCGTACATCACCGCCATTCCGGTGGGGGTGGTGATGAAGAAGGCCGGTTACTCTGGTTACAAGCAGGACTACTTCTTGGGCCGGAGCAGGGTGGAGCCCTCCGATAAGCTCTTGAAGCTCCTCGCCGAGCACATCTTCCCCGGCGTCGACGACATGCTGAAGACGGTACGTTAGTCGATGCCCTCGTATCCTTGTTTCCGAGTCGTGTTGCCGACAGTGTCTGAACTTCTAATACATATGACGAATTGCAGGCGGAAGGGAAGGCTGCCGAGGGGTCCGACGCCGACAAAGCCGCGGTGCACTTCTGGCGCACACTCGCGATGCTGCGCCGCATCGTCGCCGAGGACCTAGCGGTGAAGCTGGTCCGCACACCATGGCACCGGTGCGTCCAAGGCTCCCTGCTCTACCGGATCCCCCTCTTCCAGCAGTGGGCAAAACGGGTCGAGAGGGTCGACACCGAGACGATCAACAAGCGTCGGGACCCGACCCAAATTCAGGCAGAGGTAAGTCGACGACGAGCTGGATGTAGGGCATTCCAAACCACCTCGCGGCTAACGTCTTTGTCCTACCGCTACAGGAAATCTCTATCCGCATGGACACCGAGTACTACAACATATCCCTCAAGGCGACGCTGACGAAGGTGATCGAGCGCGCCGCGAACGAGAAGATTGACTTCTAGGAGGAGCTCGAGAAGCGCGACGACACCATCGCGTCTCTCACCGCCGAGATAACCCGTCTCACCGAGGCACTCCGTGTGTCAGAAGCACGGAGAGTGCCGGAGGCCCCGCCGTGTGCTACCGCAGAATCTCCCAGCGAGGGTGGCTCGGCGGATTCGGCCAACATGGGAGCCGGCGCCGACGGAGGGGACGACAAACCCCCGCCACCCCCATAGACGGACGAGGAGGCTAGTTACGAGCTCAACGTGGTACAACCGTGGCGGGAGGCCAAGACCGTGAGGGACGCCTGGCGCCTCTGGAACTCCGCCACCACTAATGACACCCGTCGGCTTTGCGACAGGATCGCCGAGCCAGGGTTCATCGACCGCCACACCCTCCTCGCCGGCGCGACGCAGGGTGCACTCAACAAGAGGGTGCGCCGCATGCTGAAGGTCATCGATGCGGTGCGCCAGCTACGCGCGAGCGACGGCGAAGCCGACAGCGAGGCCGTGGTCGACACACTGCACAGGATCGCGGCATCGGGCATCGGGACCTTCGCCGATGCCCTCACGGTGCTCAAACCGGGAACGGCACCGATGTTGTCCAAAGAGGCTGGCATGGGAGTCAAGGGGCTGGGCCCCAAGGTGGTCTCGAAGCTACGCCTCGCCTGTGTGCTTGTGGCGCTCAACCTGAAGCAGAGTGATTGGGTCGAAACCCTGTTTCCAAACACGTGGGAGGAGCAGATGCCGAAGACCAAGGCCGACCTGGCGAAGCCGACGGCACCGGCCAAGTCGACAGCACCGGCCAAGCCGACCGCTCCGGTGCACCGTCCTCCGACCAAGCGGAAGAAGTCGGCATGAGCGCGCTTGTAGGATATGCGTGTGCGTAGTTCGATGCTGTTAACTGTGGCAGACTTTAAACCCCCCTCCCCCCCCCCCCCCCCCCCCCCCTCTTTTTTCAAATGCTGTTCTGCTAGTTTGTAACAACTCACAGCAAGGCCATTGCGAACCTACTTGATCCCGTCGTATTAAATGTATTTGGTCGCTCATTACTAATCAAAACACAGATAGATGTCGACGTCACGGAGGTTTGCATGTTGCTAGGCTGTCGACATGTACCTAGTCATAGCTCGTCGTCGAGTAGCATGTTCTTATTGATGTCGACAGATGCGCGGACAAGGCTCATCGTTCAAAGACGGCTAGCAAGTTTCAATGTGAACAGTAGGGTTTAGGTTCATCACAAAGTGAAGCAAAGATTCGTGCCCTACGATCAAAAAGTCATTAGATTTACTACAACATCGGCGCCGACCATACCATAGCATCCCGCACACCACAGCCCACCAACTACGCATCCGTACTGCCCTTGCCCTCCTTGCCCTTCTTCCTCTTGCTGCCCTTGCCCTGCTTGACCTTCTCCCCCTTCCTTCCCCTGTGATCCATATCGTACTCCATCTTCGCGTCACACGGCACATCGATGCCCTGCTCTTTTAGCTTGGGCCCGGCGACGGGGCACATTCCCCAGAACGCCAAGGTCTCGACCGTCGCTCTGGCGATCATGTCGGCCTCGACTTCCTCAACTCCCTCCTCGAAGGCCCTGACCACTGTGTGGCGCTGCAGCGATGGCGCAACGTAATGGGCAACCTCCCCCGCGGGAGCCTCCCGACTGCGTGCTAAGTCGATCACCGCGTGCATCACCTTCTTGAATGTCTCGGCCCTCTCCTCCTCCGCACCTGCGACCATCGCCGCCGCCTTCCCTTCGCCCACAGCACCGAGCAACGACGCTCCCGTCTCCACGAAGCACCAGAGGGCGCATGCAGATGCCGCTAACGCATGGGCCGCCATTTCCGTCTTCTCGTCCGCCTTCCCCTCCGTGCCTTCCATCTCTGTCTTCTCTCCCGCATTCCCTTCTACACTCGCGTCGACCTTCCCAAACGCCGCGCTCGCTGCGACTTTCCCATACGCCGCGCACATCGACACGCGATTTACCATCGCCGACATGAGAGCCTCCGTCTCCTCCTTGCCTTCCTCTGTGTTTTCGATGATGGGGAACCATATCGCCGGCCAGAGCACCCCATGAAGCGCATCACCCGACCTCGCGTACCCACGGTACCTGCCGAGTATGTCGTCGATCCTTCCGCGCAAACACATTAAAACGACACCGACTTCAGCGTAATGACACCGACATGGTCGACAGAACTCGGCGCGTCGATAGCCGTCTTACCTTGCTCTCGGATGGCACAAGCCTCTGGCCCACATCACCGTCCACAACCCAGTCGGTAAGAACTTGACCTCCTCCCACACCTCCTTCCATTTCTCCAACTCCCCCGGCTTCAAGACGGTGAGCTCCTTCATGAGCACCTTGCTCACGTAGCCGTCGTAGACGACGTACGCAATCGCGTGCTCGTAGGCCAGCTCCATCTTCTCCCTCGACTTGCCGATATATCGATTCCGTTCGTTTACCTTAATCTCGCCCACCCACCCATGCCCGTCGCCGGACCTGTCTTGGCGGATGCCATGCCCCCTGCGTTCTTTATCTCCCTCGCCGCCCTCCTCGTCATCCTCCTCCGCCTTCTCCTTCTTCTTCGCCGGCTTACTCTTGCCGCCCTTCTTGTCCTGACTCCCTTCCGCCTTCTTCCCTTTCTCTTCCGACATCTCCTTCCCCGCCGACATCGCCCGCGTGCTCCCTTTTGAGACCGCGCTCCCTTTCTCGGTGTCGACCTTCCCCTGCCCTCCCGCATTACTCTCGGCGACAGCACCCGTTGCAGCCGTCGGCTCCGCCGATCCCCCACCGTGGGTCGCCAACTGGCCCCACATGCGTCGTGTCCATGATGGCCAGAGCAGGGGCGTGCTCAGGGTGTTCTGCTGCATCAAAATGGGCCAGGAAGGCAGCGAGTGCGGCATGCTTGTCGGGGCGGCCGCCGGTGGCTAGCGCTGCACTCACTCCCCTCTCCGCCGCCGCATCGACCACAGCTGCACCTGGTGAGGGTGCGGTCGCGTTTACCGACGTCGTCGTCGCGCTTTTGCCGTGTTCCTGCTGAGTCACAGGTGGAGCAGCCGCTTTGCGTCCGACTAAATGGGCGCGCAGAAACGCTGACTTGGAGTCCGCAGGCGTTGGGGCGGCAACCGGATGCGCTGCAGGTGAGGCCCCGGACGATGTGCCGGCAACCTGCGGAGTGACGGAGCGACGTGCTGTTCCGGCAAGGCCGGCGTCGACCACGGGATGCTGCTGCACGTCCCTGCTATGTGCCTCCATGCGGTGGAGCATCTCCCTGAGCGTGTCAGCACCGGGGGGCCCCTTAGCTGATGCCGGAGTAGCGCCCTTAGCCGAAGCAGCCTTCGCGCCGCCCTTGACGGCAGCCGGGGCTCCTGGAGCTGGAGGGGCCGCACGGGCCTTCCCATCTTTGGTCGCACCTGACTGGCCGGCAGGCGCGCTGGTAGCCGCAGGGGGGGTTACGGGGAGGGCACTTGGTGGTGCCGAGGACCGTAGCAGAAGCAGCCTTCGTCTTGCCCTTGGCCGCCACAGCGACGGACCGTCCCTTGGTGGTTCCGGCGCCGCCATCTTCCGCCGCCTGAGCAGTTTAGACCTCCTTGTCGGTCACGACTTTCCCACCGCTCGCCTGAGGATGGGTCTTCTCGGCGACCAAAGGCGGGCCTGGCTGAGCGGTGACGTTAGCGGCAGCCCCGTCGGCAGGGCCACCCTCTGCCGTCCCGCTTCCGCCACCCTTGGTGTTCAACGTCCTTATCACCCTCCACCCCGCCTTCGTCTTCAACTGGTCGACCACGCTCTGTGGCGCAGGCTTCGAGCCGCGGCTCCCGTCCGATCCCTTGCTCCGCTTTGCGTCGCCCTTCGCGCTCTCCTTGTCGTCTCCGTCGCCCGTCCTCTTCAGGCCCTGCTTGTCGGCCGTCTTCCGCTTGCGCGTGATCGGCGTCATTGGCCGACGGCGACGACCCACGTCGACCAGGCGCCACAGTGCCGACCATCTCGGCCATCATCTTCATCCCGGAAGCGACGAAAGGCTGCTGGGTGGCCTCCGTCACCGCCTTCATAATGTCGGCCTTGAATGACTTCAAGAGCTCTTCCAAGAGGGCGGGCGGCGTGGGCGGAGGCGGTGGCGGCGGCTGCACGGGGAGACTGGTGGTCACAACGGTGGCGATGTTGACCTGCGCGGCGGATAGTTGCGTCGTGATGTACAGCTCCAAACCCCGCTGCGCTTCGCCCACCACCCCAGTCACATGCTCAGCCAACGCGTCGACCGCTACCGCGCGTGCAACTGCCACACGACCCTGCGGGTTGTCGAAGTCTTCCAACCATGCTGTCGCCTGTTCCGCGAAGGTCTTCATCGTCTTCCACGCTTCGTCGAAGCTGCCGGTGATGTTGCCCGTGATTGTCTTCGACGTGGCCGCCGTCGCGTTTCGCAGCTGTTCCGCCGCATACTTCTCGGTGTCGTCGACCTGCTCGGCCAACTCCTTCACGTGGTCAACGAGTCCACGTATCCCAACAAAAAACCTGTTCAGCCGAGCCTGCTCCGCATCGAGCAACGTCGCCAGCCGAGCGTTCTCCGCCCTCAACAGCCAGTTCTCCCGTCGCATCCTGCTCGACGTCGTCCAGCTCATTACCCTGCCAACCAGAAGCGTCCTCCGTCTCCTGCACGCCCGTGGTGTTCGCCACTTCGCCGGCGTTGACCGACACCTTCCCACCTTCGCATGCCGCCTCCTCCCGGCCCTTTTCCGTCATTGCCTCCACGCCGACCTCATCCTTCTCCTTCCCCCCATCTGCCGACCTCGTATCATTACCCGCATCGCCATCCTCCGCTTCCTCGTTCTTTTCATCCACCGACCCCACCGCCTCTAGTGCAGCTTCCTCCTCTTCGAACTCCACCTCGTACTCCACCACTTCCTCCACCCCCTCCTCATCCTTCCCGTCCCCCTCCCCATCCTTCCCTTCCCCCTCCTCATCCTTCCCTTCCCCCTCCCCATCCTTCCCTTCCCCCTCCTCATCCTTCCCTTCCTCCTCCGCATCGCCGTCATCCTTCTCGTCCTTCTCCTCCTCCTCCTCCTCGTCCTCCTCCTCGTCCTTCCGCTTCTCCGCCTCCTCCTCAGACTCCGACTCCGACTCCGACTCCGAATCCTCCTCCGACTCCTCCTCTTCCTTCCTTCCTCCACCTGTCGCAGTGTTGCCTCCTCCACCACCGTTTCCTCCTTCCGTGAACACCCTCGCGTTCCCCTGATGCTGGCCGGCAACTGCTGCTTGGGGCGCCGTCTGTCTTTCCGCGCCGTCGTCATCAATCACACTGTCGGGGGGTTGTGATGTCGGCGCCGCAGAGCGTTTTTCGGCGATGCGCTTGCAGATGTACTCCATCATGCTGTCTCGCAACGACTTTAGCCCCTTTGTCTTGATGTTCTCGAGTCTCACCGCACCACGACCCTTCTCGCCCATCAGCAGGTCAACCTGCTTGGCTACCCACCTGAACGACGTTGCGGCAAGCATGCCGGTGCCGACCTTCTCGTCCGACACTGTGTCTGGCACTTTCTACATACAACACCGGCAAGCGCAGAACACTGTGAGCGGAGCATACAGAAACGTGCACCCTCCTTAATGGATAAACGTGCAACGTGCAACTCACGTCGCGGATAGGGTGGTCGCAGTCGGCAAGTCTGTCCTCCACTACTACTTGTGATGGCGATGCCCCGTCCCACTGCCTACCGGGACACCCCAGCTCGGCCAGGACTGCCGTGCGGAATAGCCTGGAGCATCGTGGTAAAGGAAGGCGGTCAGCATGTGATACCCTGGGCCGGCGACTAACAAGCGGGAAATCGACGACTATTCACAACTTACTTCAGCACGCGAGCGGCCTCGTCGCGGTGCTTCAGTTTCCCGGTATGCGGGTCGATGTGCCGGATCGAGGTCCTGCAGACCTGTCCCTCAGCCTTCAGCAGATCTCCTGGGTAGAGGATGGCTATGACGCTGCAGTGTGACCCTGGAAGCGGACCGCCGCTGCACATGCAATACACGACGCCGTCGACCACAACATTAGGCGATGATGCGACCGACTAAACAGAATGATAACTGGACAACGGGGAAACAGCTCACGTCGTGCTTAACGGGATGGCGGCGATGTCGGCGTCGAAAACCGTAGCAAAGCAAGAATGATCTACGGCCTTCAAGGCCGATCGAAGCGGGCCGACTCCGATTACCCACAACTTCTGGTCATTCAGTTCATTGCGAAACCAAGCCTACCTGGGCGCACGAGTGGGCATGAGGGATGATGGGATGGCGGGTAAGCAAACGCTACCAGATCGACGCTTGCTATGCCGACCGACGTCCATGGACGGGGTCGCGACAATCTGCGACAATCCGCCCCCGACGGCGCCGACATATACTTTATGCGCCCATCTAGAGGAAGTCGGCGCCGATATCCGCCCTATTCTCCAATCGCGACTACTCGAGTCCCACCTGATGGCGAATCCCAAGCATCTGTCGGTGAACTTTTTCTTCTGGTCGCAAAGGGCGGCGAAGTCGTCCCACTCGAAGGTGAAGCTGAGACCGCGACCCATTCGGTGTCTAAGGGGAAAGTCAGCCCAAGTCGGCGCCGACTTCTCGGCGTCAGGGATCGGCTCCATATCGACTAAGGTACGATAGCACGGATCTAGGGGGAGGCGCAGAGCTGTCTGGGAAAATGAGAAAAGGAGAAAATGAGGAGCGAAGCCACCTTCCGCAATGAAAAGGGGGTGGGGCCGTTCAGCATCGCCCAAGGGTGTGGGGCCTAGCTCGGCAGGGCTCGGAGGGCGCATGCGCTAGTGGCACAGGTGGTCCGACTTGTCAGAATATGTTGTTTGTGTAGCCTGCAGTGGGGCACTCAATAGTGAGTACATCCCCTTAGGGTTTGCTATTTGTATCCTGCTGCTTGCTAGTTCAATCATTCCCTTCTCAATTTCATTCCTTCACACAACCTAGCTCGTACTTGGCGCCTCCTCGCTCTAGTCCTACTGTGGCCTAGGCTACTAAGCCTAGGCCGTGCTCCTACTATATCTGACATGGTATCAGAGGGCGGCATGTCTGCCGCCTTCCTGCGTATGGGCCCACCACCTGCTTCCGTTGCCCTACCGTCCGCCGCGCGCCCCGTGGTGCGCGGCGGGTAAACCCTAATTTCTGCCCGCCGCGCGCTCGGGGCGCCTGGCGGGTTTCCCTTCAGTGGCGCCCGTTGTGGTGCCCTTGGGGGGGCCTCCGCGTCCCCTCCCGTCGAAGCACCCGTCGAGGCGCTCTCGGGGACCCGCGCAGCCTCCCCTCCCGTCGCCCGTCGAGGCAACCTCGGGGACCCGCGCGGCCTCCCCTCCCGCCGCCCGTCGTGGCGACACGGGGGCCGTCAGCGGCGCCCTCCCCGTCGCCCGTCGTGGCGACCACGGGAGCCATGCGCGGCGCCCTCCCCGTCGCCTGTCGAGGCGTCTTTGGGGGCCGTGCGCGACGCCCTCCCCGTCGCCCGTCGAGGCGACTTCGGGGGCCGTGCACGGCCCTCCTCGTCGCCCGTCGTGGCGACTTCAGGGGGCCCGCGCGGCGCCCTCCCCGTCGCCCGTCACGGCGACTTCGGGGGGCCTGCGCGGCGCCCTCCCCGTCGCCCGTCGAGGCGGCTCTGGAGGAACGTCGCGGCGCCCTCTCTGGTGCCCGTCCTGGCACCCCGGGGGGGGGGGGGGGGGCGCGCGGCTCCTTGCTCGTCGCCCCTCGGGGCGCCCCTCCCTCCCCCTAACTCCTCCTACCTCCTCCTACCTCTCACCTGCAGCGGCCACCCCTGGAGCAGCCCGCACCTGCAGCAGCAGCCCCTGGAGCAGCCCGTGCCTGCAGCAACCGCCCCCTCCCCCCCCCCGTGCTGCCCATTGCTCCCATTCCGCCGTGCGTTCCGCGGTGGTGGGGGTGTGGGGTGGCAAGCATGGGGGTGAGCGGAGTGGGTTCTCCCCTCCTCCTTTTTCATCTCCCACTGCTGCAGCTGCCGCTGAGGGGGGTGGAGGTGTGGGAGCTGTGGGAGTGGAGCTATAGGGGTGATGTGGGGAGTTGAGCTATGGGGGTGATGTGGGAGTGGAGCTAGGGGTGAAACAGGGGGTGTGTGTAGGGGGGTGTGGGACTGCTTGGGGAGGCTGAGAGGAGGCTGTCGTCTAGTCGTCCGCAGCACTTGTAGTCCGGGGCGCTATCTTGGTAGCCCAGAGAGCCTGCTGCGCCTGTCGCCCGTGGGTCCGTTGCTCCTGTAGCTCGTCGTAGCCCGTGAGCCAGTTACTCCAGTAGTCCGGGGCGCTGTCCCGGTAGCCACTGTGCCAGCCGCTCCTGTTGCCCGTGTGTCTGCACTTTCAGCCGTCGTCTCCCATCTTCTCTCCTCTCACAGTCCCTCCTCCTCCTCACTTGCTCGTTGTGACTACCACTAGCTTTGCTCATAACTGTGAACCTTAAACTGTTGCTTCTTGTAATTGTGCTTAGAATGTGTGGTGACATTGTGATCCACCCTGAGCTTGTTCTGCTTTGCTTACTGTGCTGATTACACCCCACTTTGGCTATGGGGGTGTGTCAGAATATGCTGTTTGTGTAGCCTGCAGTGGGGCACTCAATAGTGAGTACAGCCCCTTAGGGCTTGCTATTTGTATCCTGCTGCTTGCTAGTTCAATCATTCCCTTCTCAATTTCATTCCTTCACACAACCTAGCTCGTACTTGGCGCCTCCTCGCTCTAGTCCTACTGTGGCCTAGGCTACTAAGCCTAGGCCGTGCTCCTACTATATCTGACACGACTCCGCCCTTGCAGAGCGACGACCTCGCGTCCATTGGCCCAGGTCGGCGAGGGGACGCACAACTCGCATGCGCGCGGAGCGTCTCTAGGGCCGACACATGTCGATTTTCGTAGCGGATCGCGGTGGTAGATGCGAGATTTCACATCGTCCGAAATTTCGCATGCGTGCGCTGCGAAGCCACGGATGAACATGTGGCGCGACCGCAACGGGTCGCGAAATTGTCGAGTGTCCCGAGGGGGCCCCGATTTTTCGCCCGGCCCTCGCCTGCCCGTCCGGTCAGGCCGCGATGGGTTACTAGGACCTCGCGGGCAGGTGGCACGGTTGGGCTGCCTTCGCACGAGGGTTACTTTCCCTCGCGCGAGCTGTCGCCAGTTCGCCGACCCCACCCGGTAACGTGGGCCGCTGTTCACTTTCGAAGCGGGGCTGCTGGGCGGCGGTCGTACGCTCGGCCCAGCCCTGGGCCAGGATGGCGGGCCCGCACGTGCGTTCAGTCGCCCGCCTCGTCATTCTCGGCTCCGACGGCCCCCTTCGACGACACTGGCAAAACCGCTCTGACGACCGAATTCCGATGAGGTTTTCGGGAAGGTGACGGCCAGCCATGCCATGGGTGTAACGCCACCCAGCCATGCAGCACCCAACGATACATCACCTCAGCAGGACACCGTGTGTGCTCTCAGCAGGACGCACCTGCTCGGCTACCTGTTGGTGGCGAAGCTAAAGTCGATGAAATGGTGGTGCATGCGCTGCGCGTGTAGTGCCCAGCTTTCAGCATCTCGCCATAACCTGTGAGAGTGTGACATGTAGCATAAGGGGGGAGGGAGCGAGGGAGAAAACATCCCAAAAAATCGAGCTTCTGAAAGTTACGGCGAAGCAAGTTTGCGGTAGTTGTGTGGTTGGTTTGGAGTGAGCTACCTTGGGGTTGCTGGCAAACTTACATTGAAGTTGCACTTGAGCTCGCGACACATCAGGGAAAAAGTGGCGACGAATCTGTGCTGCACATCTCAAAAATGTGAAACCTACTTCAGCGTGACTTTGGTTGTGGTTTCGCTTCCACAGCACACGGAATTCTAATCTGTGCCGCACATCTCAGCACTCTCAAAGCTACTTCAGCGTAGCTATGAATATGATTTCGACCTTCCAATACACGTGTCAGGCACTCATTCCCTCCTGTGTGATGGAACTGAAAGTCGTAAGCCAATCGAAATTGCCTGGACCAATAGACCTTATTGGCCAACGTCATCAAACCACAGGATGCCACACAGTTCGCGTACAGGTGAAACTGATTGGGTAACGATCTTCGTTAGCTGCTTGCAAAATAAATGCGTTACTGGTTACACATTTGGTTATTTGGATTTGTAGGCTTGCTTCTTACAAACAACAATTGTAAGGAATTTCCTGAATTCCTTATCGGGGTTGACTGCTTCGCGTACAACCCGATTTTCGGAGTTCGCACGTTCCGCCGATTTCAACGCTGCCGAGGCTCCTCGCGTCGCCTTCGGCATTTCCATCGCCAAACCTGCACCCAACCTCGCTCGTCCGAGGTTTCCTCCTAGCTAGACTAGCCCTACATTAGTCTGTGCATTCATTGTATTCTCAGTTCATCTAGTCACAGTCGCGTTATTCGTTTACCTGCGCACTCTCTTTTACAACTCATAACACCTGGTATCAGAGCTACTTTCCTAGTTCACCCCGCTTTTCCGAGGGTAGTTTGGTGGCATAGGGTGTGGCTGGTTTAGTGACTACACGGCGGTTGGCTGCAGAGATTGTTGATTCAATCCTGCCCGACTCCGATAGTTCGTGTTTTCACTTGCCTGAAGGCCACGGAGACCCGATTGCCCACCAGACGTAGCGCTAGGCACATGGATCAGGAGGCGGTCAACAGGATGATGGCGCAAGTGGCAGAAATGCAGGAGAGCATGAAGACATTAATGGCAGAAGTGACAACACTGCGAGAGGAAAACGCCGAGCTACGCAAGACGCGAGGTGAAGCGCGTCAGGAGTCGCCTGTGGACGAAGGCGAGGGCAACAGTCAGGCGATGAGCAATCCGCTGGATGCGCTCACACGTGACTTCGAAGAGGAGGACAGGCAGCGAGCGGCAGCAACGCCAGTTGCAGTAACGACGATCAAGATCAAGCCCGTTAACCCGCCCCCGTTGAACCCTATGGACAAGACGGTTACAGTAAAAGGGTGGATGTTCGGGGTCGAGGTCTTTTTTACTGTAGCCGGAGTTAATTA